TGACCCATAGAAACCCTGTACAGGGTTTCCAAGGAGCAGCTGGTGAGCTTGAACCGCCAACCTTGCAGTTCAAATGGCTTTGCAGTCTGGCACATTAACCCACAGCGCCACACCAGGACTCCCACAACATAAGAGGTGGCATATTTAGTAACCAAATGTATAAGGATAAAACCATATACATTCTTCCCAAATGATTTAAACACAGATCTTACAATTTATAAAGATTTCTCATCATTTCAATGTAGTAATTGTACAGTATGCTTATTTTCATTTTCAAAGTCAGCAGTAATAGAAATTGAGCTTCATGCACTGTTGATTACAGCATGTCAGTTGCCATAACAACACTTAGGATCCAAACATTCTTTCTAATTGAGACAATTTCTCATAGCTTTGGTCCCTTAAGGCTGACCCAATTACACAATTCAAAACCCAGAGGATGCCCTCAATAAAGATGCACTGATTACACAACCTAAGGAAAATTTTAAACACCACTTTTCCAAGTTGCAAGGAAAATTTTCAGAAAATGCAACTTTTTTCATACTGCAAGTCTTACACATCTGATATAATTTAAAACCATATATATCCCATGACCACATTATAGAAATGGAAAGCTTTCATACAAATCCTTGCTGTTAATGTACATGTAACATATTTTTTGCAGTCTACTTCTTTTAAGGTACAATCAAAATATTGTAGGAGAAAGCAAGAAAAAGTTTCAATGACCTAACACAGAATATTTGTATACTAGTCTAAATTGGCCTCATGGAAGGAAAGAAGTTAGAAAAAAATTTTTTAATGATACAAATATAGCAGGCTATCCTAAAAGAAGAACTCTACAGTGAAACCCTAGTTCTTAGGTGGTGTAAATGTTATGCACTCAACTACTAACTGGAAGTTTGGAAGTTCAAACATACCCAGAGGCACTTCATGCCTGATAATCTTCTTCTGAAACCCTACTGTGCAGTCACGGGTTTGCCATGAGTTACAAATGTCCCAACAGCAACATCAGCAGTAGAGTGAATCCCTAGTAATTCCAAACAGAAAAAGCCATGTTGGGTAATGTGGTATCTCCACTGTCTCAAAATGTAAGCTGGTGATTCCCTTTGTCTAACAGTGCAGAAGACTGAAAAATGGAATTGTTTTCCCTGGGAGTTTTTGCTTAGGAGACAGTGAGTTGATGTTAATGGTGGCAGAATGATTTGGAAAGGACAGTGAGAAGAGTTATATAACGTGAAGAGTGTAGTCAGTGTCACTGAACATGTAGAAATTGGTGGAAAACAACTAGATTGCTTTCAGACTATTGTTGTTGTTGTTAAGTGCCGTCGAGTCGGTTCCGACCCATAGCGACCCTGTATAGGGTTTCCGAGGAGCAGCTGGTGAGCTTGAACTGCCGACCTTGCAGTTCAAATGGCTTTGCAGTCTGGAGCATTAACCATTAGTCATTGTTGTTGTTGTTAAGTGCCGTCGAGTCGGTTCCGACCCATAGCGACCCTGTACAGGGTTTCCGAGGGTGTAAATCTTTACGGGAGTAGAAAGCCTTATCTTTCTCCCGTGGAGCAGCTGGTAGTTTCAAACCGCTGACCTTAAGGTTCACAGCCCGATTCGTAACCACTACGCTACCAGAGATTTAATTAGTTGAGTTGATCACAATTTTGACTGTTATTGTATACATATCCAGAAGCATGTGCTTATTTTACATAACAAGCAACATTTCTTCCATCTCTATAACTACAGTGTGTAATAGTATTTCCCACACAATGTTCACTGTATGTGTGAAACAATGTATATAATTGAAACGTTTACTAAACATTCATTTTTGGTGTTCACTATTCTATTTTTCAATTAGGCAGTCTGCTCTGGTAAAGATTTACAGCCTCAAAAATCCTATAGAGCAGTTTTACTCTATGCTATAGAGTCTGTGGTGCTGTGGGGAAAGCACTGGACCACAAGGTCGGATTGAACCATAATGTTGGATGGTGATGATGGCACTTAACAACAACAATAAGAGTCACTGGACTGCTAACTGCAAGGTTAGCAGTTCAAACCCACCAGCTACTCTTCAGAAACCCTATTCAGGGTTGCTATGAGTCGGAAGCAACTCAACGGCACTTAACAACAAATAGGGTCACTAAGAGTAGGAATCGACTCAACAGCAGTGGGTGGATAGTGAGACAATTTATTATGAAGCAATGAGAGAGCTGAAACTACTGTACATTTTGAAAAAGTTCTTTACTCTAGTTGTAACCTACAGTTTTAAAACAAATAACTAAAAAATTTAAATATACACTTTTCTGTATGGCAGACAGTTCAAGCTTAAAGAACACTGTTAGAAATACTAATGGGAGGAAAATGAAAATAGGAATCTTAAAAAAATTGTCCATCAACGGGGCTGGTGAAAGGAGATGGGGATAAGACTCTTGTGGTACAATAGTGAATAATTGCTATCAGGACTGACTGTGAGTATTGGAAATGTAAAGGGAGACATTTTGTAACAAAAGGAGGGAAGTGGTTTATCTTGCAGTCCAGGAGCAGAGGGCACTGGGACCATCAAAGGAGAAGAGTAAAGTGCGGGACCCTATCCAGAGAAGCAGAGACCACAGAGACGGAGGCAGAGATGATGACGTGGAGAGATAGAGCAGCTGGGGACTCTGGACTCAGGGAGGGAGAGGGGCTGTGTGCTGGCAGACAGGGGGCAGGCTTGCCGGGTGTACCCTTTGGTTGCTTGAATGGTTATATATTCCTGAGTGCTTCGGTGTACAGCAAAAAAAAAAAAACACAAAACAACAAAAAAAAACAGAGGGAATGGAAGCAAATGCTGTTGAATGAGGATGCATGGAGGGGATTGTAATCATTGCAATGAAACGAACTATGATAGGATGAATGCAAAGCTGATGTTCTCCCATGTAAACTACTCAATTCACAATAAAGCGTTAAAAAAAATTGTCCATCAAATAACTTTAAATGATACAGTTTTCTTATGTGTCAGAAAGCACATTCCTTCTTTTTCCTACATTATAAAATACTGCTATCAAGTATGGATAAGAGAGAATGACTAAATATACCACTCAATCCAAGAAGGGTAACAAATTTTACAGAAAGCTCATAATTTCTCAAATCTGACATGTACACAATCTAGTTTATATTTTAAAACTTTGCTGGGGTTTGAAAATAATGCAGAAATGTGTATGGTACTAATTGTTGATGAGAAATTTATTCAAAGTATTCTTGAGTAAAAAATGTCTTCCATCAAATGCTGCGTTGTTGTTGCTAAGTGCCGTTGAGTCAGTTCCGACCAATAGTGACCCTATATAGGGTTTCCGAGGAGCGGCTGGTGAGCTTGAACCACTGACCTTGTGGATCAAACCGACTCTGCAGTCCAGCGCATTAACCAGCGCCACACCAGGACTCAATGCTGCATCAGTATGGTGTTAATCAACTGTTCATAATACTTATTTTTTAAATTCTCATTTTCTTTGGAAGGGAAAAATAATTGAAAAGTCTCTCAAACTACTCTCAAACTACTTGACTAAGCACAAATGAAGAACTATGTAGAAAGAGGAAGCATTAGGAAATGTATGACTCTTGCGCAAGAACTAGTGGACATTTTCAAAGCTTTTTGGTTTCTGATTATATATTGTTGTTGTTGTTAAGTGCCATGGAGTCTGTTCCAACTGATAGCGGCCGTGTATAGGGTTTCCGAGGAGCAAGTGATGGGTTTGAACCACTGACCTTATGGTCAGCAGTCCAGTGCTTATCTGAGAGCACCACACCAAGACACTCCTCTCTCTCTTGCTCTCTCATATATCTCTCTCTATATATATACACGTATATACACATATATGGAGGGAGGGAGACAGAGGCAGACAGAGAGACTGATTGATTCCTGGTGTGGGGCTGTGGGTTAATGCGCCAGACTGCAAACCCATTTGAACTGCAAGGTCGGTGGTTCAAGCTCACCAGGTACTCCTTGGAAACCCTGTACAGGGTCGCTGTGGGTCGGAACCGACTCAACAGCAGTTAACAACAACAACAACACACACATATATATGTATGTGTGTTTGTGTCAAAATAAAGGGCTTTTCATTCATTTAAAGCAGGGTTAGGAAACACGGAGGAATGGACAGAAGAAATACCGGCAGGAAGTGGAATTGCACTGAGGGAATTGCAATCAATGAGATGAAATACAATGTGTAATAACTGTCTAATGTAAATCAGGTTACCCGCTCTGTAAACCTTCACCCAATTCACAAATATTGTTGTTAAGTGTCGTGGGTCGGTTATGACTCATAGCGACCCTATATAGGGTTTTCAAGGAGCAGCTGGTGAATTTGAACCGCCGACCTTGCGGTTAGCAGTCCAGTGCTTATCCTACAAACACCACACCAGAACTCCAATTCATAATAAAACGTTAAAACAAATAAACAAAGCAATAGTCAAATATTGCTTGATTTATGCTGGCTATTTTCACCTTAGAGTCTTAACACACATTCCAAGACTGATTTAATTTTCATTCTTCTTTTCGGATAACTGGAAGAAGAAGCGAGGCAAAGCAAAGTTATATATGACCCTGTCCACTTAGTAATTTAGAAAAGGCAGTAGTGGAATATAGCTGGAGGCACCAATGATATTAACCAGGGAGGGCAGACAATAGAGAAAACCGCCACAGACCATAAACTGAGAGATGAGAATCAGTCCCAAGAGTAACCGGAGGACTGGACAAAGCCCTTGCTCACAGCAGCCGGCTTAATGAGCGGATTTGAGATTCAGGGCAATCTGCTCTCCTTTCCTCCCTGTGTTCAGCTTCATAGCAGCGGCCAGCACAAGTCAACTCTCCTCACTTTAGAGCCATCAGGGGCGCCCTCCATACCGCTGCATTTCATGCACCCCCAAAAGTAAAGCACCCCGACTTCAGCTACGCGCGTTCAAGAGAGAGAGATGCAACAAGACGTGGGTTCGGACCTCTCATGGGCGGAGGCCAGGGGCCACGAAGCTTTCGTTACCTTCTCGCGCTGGTCCCAGCTGTACTGTTTTGGCTGCTCCTCTTCGCCCTCGGGCCGTGACTCCTTCTCAGCCTTCCGCCTCTTGGAAAAGAAGCAGCCCATGGTCCCGACCTGCGGGTCTTGCTGGCCGCCACTCCTCACCAGTCCACTAGCTCAGATGCCTCCTGGAGTGTGGCGTAAACTCTGGGCGCCCCTGACCCCGCTGCTCGCAGGACACCGCCCCACAGAGCCACCCAACCTTCCACAGCCGCCGTTCGCCCGCCAGGCCCAACACCCCTTCTTTTCCCTTCAATCGCCCTGGTGACCCACCGCAGCCAATGGCCGCTCAACGCTAACGAGCCAACCAACGCCCCTCGAGCAACCTTGCGCCCGCCTAGAAAGACAGGCCGACGTAGGCCCACGCCAATCCACACGCAGCTCGGTGGCTGGCCGCCCCCGGCAGGCCCACGGTTCTGGCGCACTTAGACCCACCCCCACCCCCGCCCCGCCTCCACCTCCTCCTCCCCTCCTTCTCAGAATCCGTCGCGACTACCTGCTTGGGACTCAATGGGGACTTAAGTGCCTGAGTTAGGCAGGGTTGTTAGTCCTTTCATTCTGGCCCTCTTACTCAGATCTAGGCAGGGGTGAGCGCTCTAGTGGAGTCTCAGACTTCACTTTTAAGAAGCAAAAGGTGATGGAACAGGAATTCCTGCTGACCCAAGAAAAGCTATGAGATTCTTATTGCTCACTCCTTTTATCCTCTTCTCTGTTCTTTCCAGGCAAAAACGCTCATTGCGTTCCACTACTGACTAGTATCTGCATTTAGAGTTCCCCTCACATTCCAAGCCATTTATTACCTCTGTACCTTTCCACCATTAATGCTGAAAATCATCCCCTACCCTATTATCCCCATACCCCCACTTCACCTACTCTGGCCTGAGTTCTCCCTTCAGGAAACTTCCCTACTATCCTCCCCCATCCTCCTCACCCTCTCTTTTGTGCTTTTGTTTTTAATACATCCACTGTGGTGGTTATGTGCCGTGGAGTCGGTTCTGACTCATAGCGACCCTGTACAGGATTTCCGAGGCTGTAAATCCTTACGGGAGCAGAAAGCCTCATCTTTCTCCAGCGGAACAGCTGGTAGCTTTGAATTGCCGACCTTGACATTCGCAGCCTGATTCGTAACCACTACGCTACCAGAGCTCCTTGGAGTACATACTAGATGCTCAGTAAAACGTTCGTGGAATGAATGCATGCATGCTGGTGAAGGAAGCATTTCTAACCTTTTCCCAAAGAAAATGACTGAAATTGTGCAGGCATTCTCCTCAAGGAACATATAGCTGAGTTAGAACCATACACATATATAAGGGTAAGTAAAAAATATTGCTATCAAATCATAGAAACCTTTATTAAACAAAAATATCAAAATGTGAAACTGCTGTTTCTTGACATATCACCCACCTAGGTCTATATACTTCAGAAGGTGCTGTTTCCATCTCTCTAGCCTTTCCCCAAAGGAGCCCTGGTAGTGTAGTTGGTTATGTATTGGGCTGCTAGCCACAAGGTTTGAATCTACCAGGTGCTCTGTGAGAGAAAGATGAGGCTTTCTGCTCTGATAAAGATTTACAGTTTTGGAAACCCTATACAGGGTCACTATGAGTCAGAACCAATTCCATGACACACGACCAACACCAGCAGCCATTCCCCAAATAATTCTGTGCTCTTTGATTTACACCACATCAAAACAGCAGTTCTGGCATCCTAGAGGGACTCAAATTGTGCCTCTTTTCAATGTTCTTTGAGGTTGGGGAATATAAAGAAATCTGAAGGGGCAAGTAAGATCAGGGATGTAGCATGGGTGGGGTAAGGTTTCCCAACAAAATTCTTGTAGGACAGGCCTAGCTATCCTCGGAGAATGTGCAGGTACATTCTTGTGATGGAAAAGATAATTCCTCAACACAACTTTCTTGGCCTTTTTCTCATCAATGCAGTTTTCTGTTTTCTTAAAACTTCTTCATAATAAGCCCCTATAATTGTCCTGTGTCCTTCAAGAAAATCTGTCAAGATTACCCTTTGGGGATCCCAAGAAACAATCACTATAAATTTCTGATCTTATCTCTCTGCCATGAATTTAACTAGCCTAGCAGATCCCCTGGGATGCCACTGTTTTGAATGTATGTGTTTTTGGAAGGCACCTTAATGAGTTTGAGACAAGGATATTACTGAGAGAAATTGTCTGCTGCCATCCACTGATTTCAAAGACAGGGCTAAACACGTTTTTTTTCAGTTTTCAAAAGATACTTTAATTATGTTTCCAGTGAAGGTTTGGACAGGAAATCAGGATTCCATTTAATAATTTCTATACAATTTGTTCAGTGACATTGGTTACATTTTATAGTGTATCAACTTTCTCATTATTTCTATTCTGATCATTCTGTTTCCAGTAATCTAGTTTCCCTGCTCCCTTGCCGTCTCATGTTTGCTTTAGAGTAAGTATTGACCATTTGGTCTCATACAGAGGATTTTTTGAAGGAGTACAGTATTCATGGGTGATATTGTTTCTCTTATGAGCCAACCACATGGAATAGTTTTGGTTTAAGGTTTAAAGAATATCTCAGGGCGATAATCTTGGGAAGTCCTTCAGTCTCAACTGGTCTAGTAGTATTGTTGTTGTTAAGCGCCATCAAATCAGCTTCTACTCATAGTGACGCTACACACAACAAAACAAAACTCTGGTCTAGTCCTGCATCAGCTTCACAATTATGTTTGAGCCCATTGTTGCTGCTGCTGTGCCAATGCATCTCATTTGGGGTCTTCCTATTTTTCACTCACCCTCTACTTGTCCCTCCTGATAACATGGCCAAACTTGTCCCTCCTGATAACATGGCCAAACTCCATGAGATGAAATCTCACCATCCTTGCTTCTAAGGAACATTCAGGCTCTACTTCTTACAAGACAGCTTTCTTTGTTCTTTTGTCAGTAAATATTCTTTGCCAGCCTCATAATTCAAATGCATCAACTCTTCCCCAGTCCTCTTTATTCATTGTTGAACTTTCCCATGCATTTGCGGCCATTGAGAATATCATGCTTGGTCAGATGCACCTTAACCTTCTAAGGACATATCTGATCTTTAACACTTTTAAATGAGTTCTTTTCAACCAATTTGCCTAATGCAATACATCGTTTGATTTCTTGATTGCTACTTCCATAGGCTTTCATTGCGGAGCCAAGTAAAATGAAATCCTTGATTGCTACTTACATAGGCTTTCATTGTGGATCCAAGTAAAATGAAATCCTTGATTGCTACTTACATAGGCTTTCATTGTGGATCCAAGTAAAATGAAATCCTTGACAACTTCAGTCTTTTCTCCATGTTGTTTGTTGGTCTAGTTGTGAGGATTTTTGTTTTCTTTAGATTGAGGAACAATCCATACTGATGACTGTAACAGTCTGATCTTCATCAGTAAGTGCTTCAAGTCCTCTTCACTTTCACCAAGCAAGGTTGTGCCATCTGCATATTGCAGGTTGTTAATGAGCCTTCCTCCAGTCCTGTTGCTGCATATAATCCAACTTCTCAGATTATTTGTTCAGCATACAGATTAAGTATGGTGAGAGGATGTAACCCTGATGCACACTTTTCCTGATCTTTTTTTTCTCCCCCTCCAGTGTCTGCTTTATAATAGAATGCAAGGAAAACCATGATTCAAAAGACAGCCAAGCATCTTAACATTATTCCCCCCTTTTCCCCATTCCATCCATGTCTCAGTCTCTGTATTCCAGAGCCCTGTTGTTCTAAAGCTGTGCCTACATCATTTTTTACCTCTGTCCC